TATCATGCCACGGGGCGAACGAGCATGGACCAGGGAAGGCGTATGTATGGTTGGCCGGGGGGGGGGAGGGGAAGGGGAGGGGAACTAGGGGGGGGGGGACGGTCGATTTGGGATGGCGCTCAAAGAAGCATGAAGACCGGACAAAAACGTACACTTTTTCTAGCGGATCCCAAGCTCCGGGAGCAGGATACACATAGAGCGGAACAAAAACTGAAGCTTTAGGACCCATGCTGTTCTTCTTGTGTAGAGTGACCACAACTGCTGGTGGAATGACGACGGCGAGGATGGCAATGATAACAAAGACGGCGAGGATAACTCGCGAGCGTGTACTGGAGAGACAGCGGCGGTCTCTCACGTGTTTTTCTTGCCCCATCATGATGAACAACGATAATGGGTGATTATGATGGAGCCAGGAGCAGGATAGCTGAAACCGTGCGCACCAACACTTGCGGACGAGCCAAATTAGTACTGCACTTGAAAGTGGGTTCTGGCTAGTAGTAGTGGTGGTGGTAGTAGAAGTGGGCAAGTGGGCTGCTGGTGGGCTGCTCCATAATAGCGGAGTTGCGCCAGAATCGGGCCTTGAAGGACTAGAATTAAGTAGTGGTCTAGTCAGCCTTCCAAACGTAACTGAATAATCTGATGCTGAGTGAGAAAAAAGAGTAAAATGATTGAATGGGTGAGTAAGAGACTTGGGACGGGAAAGGGAGGGAAAGGAAAAAAACACAGCAGGTAAAGCGCAAAATGAGATGAATGGCGCGCGCGAGCCCAAAATAGAGCGGGGCAGGGTTTCGCCCATGCAGCAAAGCAGCAGCAGCAATAGAAACTGCTACTGCTACTGCGACTGCTAAGTTACTGCTGTTTCTGCTGCTGTTTCTGCTTTGCTGCTGGAACAATTTCTTTTTCTGGTTTCGCCCCTACTTGTCCCAATTCTCCATCCAATTTACTTACCTACTTACTGTACTTTCCTTTTCCTCTGGTACTCTCTTGTTTCGTATCGGCGGATATCCGATGATGTATGATGTACTCGAGATTGCTGATGCTCTTTTGCTCTTGCTCTGATTGTAGTTGCTGTTGCTGCTGCAAGTCTCTGTGGAGGCGTCTAGAGTTCGATCGAAGAGTCCAGTCCCAAGTCATCAACCATTATAATAAAATAAAAATATAATTAAAAATAACCCAAAAAAATAATCACCAAAGAGGCGAGATTCCAACAAACCTGAAGGCTAAGTCAAATCGAATCACTCACTCACTCACTCACGTACTCTGTCAGTCAGTCAGTCAGTCAGTCTTCCTTCTAGGCCCGATTGTTCCATCCCAATAAGATCTCTCGCTGACATCGTCGACTCTTTATATTTGCTTTTTTTTCTCTTCCACTCTTTCTTTTTTGTCTTCTGCTTCTTCCAGATCCTCTGGTACCATCGTTCGCTCCCACCGATTTCTATCCAATTTTATTTTATTCCCTTTTTTTTCTCTTGTCCTTCCTCTTTTCTTTTTTATAATTATTATTTCCCTTTCGCCATCCTCCTCTTACACCTCGTCTTTCGCTTCCTTTCTCTGATATCCATTCGCTTCGTATGGCCATGTTCCCTGGTTGTAAATAAGCAAGTCACCGATCACGATATCATCGCCCAACCTAGCTGGCCAGATTCAGCAGCGGTTACATCGGAGAACCATAGCATAGGGCCGCCACTCGTTCTTCCAAAGGAGTATAAGATTTGGGAACTCCTGTCTTTGATCTCATCCGATCCTGTTCGGAGTCACCCGCCGTCATCGAACGAACCCTCGCTCGAATAAAAGTCTTTCGTTTCCTTGTCATTGTCTGACCAAAGCTTCCTGATCTGCTTCACCTTTGAAGTTGTACTTCCCATCTTCCCAAACCCCCGCCCTCCTTCATTGCCAATAATGGAGAGCCCTCGACAGTCCGATGCAAGCACTCCGGTGGAGCCCAACTCCCCGGGCTTCGTGGATACGCCAGCGACGCAGTCATCCGTCTTGTTTGATGGCAATCTCGAGGAGTTGCTGCGCAACTTCCCCCTCGATCAGTACATCCTCGTTACAGGGGGTCTCGGGTTCATCGGAAGTCACACAACATTGGAGCTACTCAAAGCCAATTATAATGTAATCGTGATCGACAATCTCAGCAACTCCTTCCAGAGCGTCTTCGACCGCATCAAGCTGCTGGCGTCCAAGCATCATGAGCAACAAGGAACATGCATGCCTTCCTTGCAGCTGCACGCTCATGATTTCCGGGATACTGTTGCTCTCCGGGAGCTTCTCGATCAGTACCAAACCCAATCCAGATGGGGTTCCCCCAAGTCCAAAATCGCTGGTGTCATCCATTTCGCTGCTTACAAAGCAGTTGAAGAGAGCATCAGAAACCCTCTGAAATACTATGCCAACAATGTCAGTGGTCTCATCGACTTTGCTACCACCTTGGGTGACTATGGCATCAAGACCTTCATCTTCTCATCCTCTGCCACCGTGTATGGTACCTTGGCCACCTCCGGCCTGCCGCTGAAAGAGGAACTCTGCGTTCACAAGGATGAGACTTTCACGGACCACAACGGTTCCGAGCAACAGGTCAAGGCTGGCTGCACAGGCATCACCAACCCTTACGGCCGCACTAAATGGATCTGCGAGGCCATCTTAGCAGACCTCGCGGCCTCTGATCCAGAATGGACCATTGTCGCTCTCCGGTATTTCAACCCGATTGGATGCGATGAGTCCGGTCTCCTTGGCGAAGATCCCCGCCAAATACCCACCAATCTCCTGCCTGTGGTTGTCAAAGTCATGACCGGGCAATATGCGGAGCTGCAAATGTTCGGCACGGACTGGGACACTGAGGACGGCACTGCCGTCCGCGACTTCATCCATGTTACCGATCTCGCCCGAGGGCACATCGCTGCCCTCAGTGCCGCCAATGGAGGCAAGTTGGCTGAGAACTTCCGCACCTTCAACCTCGGCACAGGACGCGGCCATTCTGTGATGGAGGTGGTGAACACCATGGAAAGCGTTTCTTCCAAACCCATTCCCCGCAAAGCGGCTGGACGTCGTGCTGGTGATGTTGGCTCATGCGTTGCAGTGGCAACTAGATCACAGAACGAGCTCGAGTGGAAAACTGAGAAAACGCTGAAAGATGCGTGTGTGAGCTTGTGCAATTTCCTTGATGTCAGTGGCCTCTCTGCATAGGCCTGGATATTGTTTTAATCACCCTGTTTCATCTATGTGGCGCTTGGTTTGGGTTTTACCTTTCATGATTCTTTCGTTTATCGTCCTGTGACCGTCATAATTTTCCTTCGGTTACCGATTTTTCGTATATTCCCATGATTCCTGTTCGTGTGTTGGGACATAATTTCGACAGCCTCAAGCAACTCGTGATATTTTGCATGATAGAGACGAACGCATTCGCTATATTCATCCCATCACATAGTATGCACTTGAAACCACTATACTTTACATCTGACTTTGTTCCGAGACGTCGAAGGGGTTCGCTAAGTGCGAGGCCTTCCACGTTCCATTTATGGATAGTGTTAGTAGATTGACCAATGTCACACTTTTACCGTGGAGCCAGCCCCATGTGCGCTCGAGAACCTTTCAATCTGTTATCATGCTCCATGTGCATGAAAAGACTCCGAAATAGTCGACAAGACCAAGGCCGTCGCGAAATGCGTGTGCTTGATGCATATCATTGAACAGAGCAGGAGACCGTGGGCAATGATAGAGAGGGGGGATGAGGGGCAGGCAGAAAGCATGGACGATTCAAAGAGCGGCAGGAATGGACGTTCGGGTGAATGATTAGTCAGACTGCCTGCCAACACTTCATCTTTCGACGTAGATGCAGTCTCTGCAGGTCTTCTCTGCTCTTTAAATGTTTAGGTTCGGCGCAGTCAAGCAAGGAAGGCATTCCGGGGAGGGTTATCATGTTCTTATCAGACGTTCGAAGCCAGATAGCACTGCTCACACGATCATCCTGGAGATGAACATCAGAGACTAGCGCTGACGGCGAGAATGGCTAGAACCAATGGAAGGCTTCACTGTCAGACAAGCAATATGAGAACTCCGGAGAGATTGCGCAGCCTGCCTTAGCTTTGCCCTGTTCTCTCCAGTAATGTGCTTCCTGCGGGACGCAGTTGCAGGCATTGACAAGGCGGCAAAGGTATAACGGCAGTCGACATGCATGGGATGTGAGTGATAATGCACGAGGCAACCAGAGACAGGATGGCACGATGCTCGGTTCTGCAATGTTCGTTGACATTTCCTGTCAGTCGATATCGGCAGGGAAGTCGAGGATCCATCTGCGGACGGAAATTGTCCGCACGGAAGCAGCGGTGACAGGGACAGTGGGACTGCTAGACGGTTGGAGCATGTCTTAGCTCTGCTTTTAGAACGCAGTAATGTATCGACAGGCGCCCAAGAACCATTGCCATGGCCGTCACTTCTAGATGCCGCGGGTTACCTGGAAATCATTCGGTACATGCGCGGGTACCTTATCTGTCGAACGTCACTTCGGGTTCCATGATAGCTCGAAGAAGCCGCATTCGTCGCACTTGGAATAGACCTAGTGAGAATAGTACAAAGCTTGGACATTGGAAGCGTTCAGGAAGCATGGTGGTTCCAAATAAGAGTAGAGGAACAGAAACTTGTGTTGATGGCGAGCAAACATATATTAGAAGAGCCATGACGAGCTCGAAACAACGGGTATCTGCATTAAGAATCATGATACTCGACATGCGCGGATAATTGGGTAGGATCGACCAGAGCCAAGGTCACCAAGCAGACCTAACGTCATGAGCGATGTCAGGGACATGATAATGTGTTTTGGCAGAACGGTCACAGATGTATCTGAACAAGGTTGAGGTTGAAGTATATTCGTCGGGCTGCCCGTATCGGTTTATCGCGAAACTCCGACTTGAGGATTAGTCATGTATCACATGATCCATCACCACCGATGTGATATGCATCGGTAGATGGGCAGGACGCAGCTCAGAATCTCTGGCGATGATGGAAACTAGACACAAATCGCCTCTTGAGCTCGATCTTATTGGAAATCTACCTTTCCAACAGATAGACTGTTCGGATCAAGGAATTGTTGGCAAGCCATCGAATACTGCGTGATACGGTCACGTGTCGGCTCACCGCCGGCTTGGCATCAAATTCATGCCGCAGTTTTCTCGATAAGTGCACTCTCACTGCGTGCCGGTCGGTAGGATTTCATTACACAGCATTCGATTCAGCGTGCACGGCTTGTCTTGGGGCTGAGGACGGCATACCACGACTCCGGTGACCGAGCTACTATCATTCGTTCTTTCTGGTCTTCAGTACAGCCGAAACCTGCCAGACTTCACATCCTCAAAATGATCTGCCAACGATGCCGGACCGGCATCCTGTCTCGATTCCAGCAGCACACGGTTACGTCGCCTGCCCTGTCTGGCGCGCGCCAGCTCTCTCTTCCCATCCAACGGGCTCAATTCCGCAACTACAGTGACGGCAAGCCCACCGTGTCCGCCGCACCGCCGCCGCCCAAGCCCCGACAGCCCGGCGTGAGCGACGTGACCGTCGCGTCCGCCGTCTCCTCCGCCACCCCTGGAGTGTCGCAACCATTGAGCACCCCCACGGACGGCGTCCACAGCGATATTCACCCCGGCAAGGCCCGCAAGGTCGTTGAGCGCCCCCCGAGTAGCTGCCTTGCTGGCACGAAACTGAACGGGCTCAACTACTTCAAGAACAAGCCTGATCTGCTCGCTCTGGAGGATTCGGAGTACCCCGATTGGCTGTGGGGTCTGTTGGATGAGAACAAGAAGGGGAAGACCGAGCAGGGTGGCGTTGATCCAAGCAGTAAGGGACCCTCTCATCAATCAATGCCACGAAATTTGTCTCCAGCTTGATTCTCCTTGACTAACACCGTGCTTCTTTCTCCTCATCACAGCCCTGAACAAGAAGCAGCGCAAGCGCTACGAGAAGAAGATGGCTGCCCGCGCCGCGAACCTCCCTCCCGTGATCCCCATCCACGAACAGGCCAACGATATCACACCCGCGGCCTACAACCGCGATCAGGCAGAGGCGCAGGATACCCTGGTTATCGCCGCCCAGAGTCTCGAGAAGCGGACCGAAATCACCAGAAGCGCGAGAGATGCCCGGAGAAAGGGCATCAGAGAGGCCAACTTCCTCCGCGGATTGTAAAAACATATATTGTGTGTATCTTTGGCGAATCTGCGATTTTCTCGGTGGGAGGCTTCTTCACGTTGGTCGATACTGTCCAGACCTACAACCCACAATGTACAATGGTATTGGCAACCCGGTGAAAGGCTGGGCAGTTGGGGGCAGGGGGCGGGGGGCGGGGGGACTGCGTCCGGAAGAGAGATATTTCTCCTTGTAACTCATATTCTCATTTCTTTATCATGTACTATTTCCCAGAACTCAGGCGCGCGAAATGGAATGCTTTCAACACTTTCACTTATTGCAGCCCCAGGCTCACTTGGAGCGACTTCAAACCCACCACTGCACCCCCGTGACTTCCCGAAAGCGAAGAGCGAAAAACACACTTTCAACGAGGAACCTCCCAATCCGACTCATCCTTCTCCTCGCCCTGGCCCTCCACCCACGGCAAACAAGCCTCCCACAGCGCCTTGACCTCCCCATCCCCCACCGCAAGCATCTCCGCCCAAACCGTGCTATCCCCGCGCTGGAACCACGCCAAAACAGCCACGACCAGAAAGTCCGCATACCCGGGGGTCTTCCCTTCAAAGAACGGGCCACCACCGTTGTTGTTGTTGTCGTTCTCCTTGTTCCCGCGCCGGCCCCGCAGCATCATCACGATCACGGCCATATCCCGCTTCATCGCGTCGATCAGCCGCTCCACCTCGCGGGCATCCCGGGGCCGGACCTCGGAGAGGGGCTTCCCGAACTGCGCCGAGCGCGTCTTGATGAAGTACTCGCGGCCCCGCGCATCCAGGAAGTCCGCGACGCGGGGGACGACCAGGGGGACGGCGTTGATCCAGACGGCGCCCATGAGCTTGCTGACGGCCAGCGCGAGCGCGTAGCTGGCGTCACCGGAGGGGAATAGGGATGGAGTGTTGGGGAAGGCTTCTTCAAGGTGCGTGGCGATGGCGAGCGAGTCCATCAGCATGCCGGAGGGGCTGGCGGGGAGGGAGGCCGGGTGGCAGATGGCGGGCAGCGTGTAGGGTCGGCCTTCGGCTTGAGGGTGGACTCCCCTGTGTGAGAGGACGGGGGCGATGTCTGGGTAGGAGAGGAAGGTCTGCGTGTAGGGGAGCTGCTTGTAGTTGAGGACCATTCGGGTCTTGATGGTGTTGGGGGACCAGGCCCTCTCCGACCCTGGTGGTGCGTTAGTCGTGATGCTCGTTTTGTTTTTTGGTTTGTGATGTGGATGAAATGAAGATTGGCTTCTTAGATTAAGATACTCACCAGAGAGGGTCGACTTGATGTCGAAGAAGTGGATTGGGCTGGAAGTCGACATTATTTTATCTTCAATATACAGTACGCGTCCTATTTTGGCATCAGTTGAAGTTCGTTTGAGTATGCTATGACGCGGGGAGGCTTATGGTGGGGAAGTCATCTTTGATTTATCAGCTCCGCCGCCCCGTGGAAGGTAACTATTAATTCCAAGTTAGGCACCCTGCTTGCTTATGGATCCGCTCTTCAACCCCGGTCATCTGCCTTGATTCGCGCTTTGATGAAGTGAAGCACAGTCCAAACTTCTACGTTTGCTTAGTATGCTTAGACTGTTGCTTGATTGGTTTCAGACATGAGCCATTGAGGTTTAGTCTCTATGAGATGCTATCTATCATTCATCTATTTTTAAAAGTCATTAAGTCCAATGAGACTCTATAGAGTCTCCCCGAGAAACGTCATGTGTGGAGGCTTCGTAAGGTATATGAAAGACGGCTCAATGGGTGAACCGGAAGTCGAGGCTGCGGGGTTATTAGAAAAATATTCGTAATCGATGAGAAAAGCTCAGGGGTCTGACCGTTTGTTACCAAGATCCTTGTCGGCGACATCGGCCAGGTATGCCTCTCTCTCGGCACTGGACATAGCGTCCCATATAGCGGCTCTCTGTCTAAATTATAGTGTTAGCATGATAATCAGACAGTGGGATTGGGTGAACTTACTTGTTACGCCAAATGTAGTAGAGCTTGGCCCCAATGAAAACTAGTATACTCCATACGGCCATGGCAATCAGTACTTTGTTGCCAGTATGATAGTATGGCTTGTCCTTCGCTTGATAGATCTGGGAAATGTCAGCTGACTTCCACCACAGACTAAGTGTTAAAGGGGTAACTCACTTGACTGGCAATAATATTGGACGCTTGCACCATCATGTTGTACACAGCGCTAGCGACCGTTCGCGTCCGAACTGAGCCTGCATTTCTGGACGTCATGGCCACAACGATAGCATGAATATAAGGTGCGCCAATCAATAGAATGAGAATGGCCCATCGTCCCCATGCGCTGGCCCCGTCTGGAAGAGCAACTAGTGCAATGAGTAAAATCAAGCACCAGAATTCCATGACGAGGCCAAGCAACAAACGCTGATTGAAGCGCTCTGAGATCCAAGTCCAGAACAGAAGGTTGATAATGAAGATAACATAAGCAGGAATGGTGAGAAGATTCGTCTGGAAGGTACCGAAGCCCAGGGATTTGAGCTCGAGAGTGATGTAGTTTGTTGCAGGTGTGTTGGGAATCATCCATGTCAGACCGAGCAAATAAATCGGCCACATATCATAGTCGCATAGAGCAGTCCATAGCATTTTGAGCGATACAGCCTGCCGATTGTGCATACTTCCCTTACTGGGGTCGTCACGCAGTACGCGGTTAACAAGAATCTTCTCTTCGCGTTCGTTGAACCAGCCGTCTTTACCCCGGAGGCCACCCTTTGTTTGTGTCGGTGATGCAGGCATCCAGAAGATAGCGATGATTCCGATGATGCCAGTGATTAGACCTTCAAATGCGAAGAGGTACCGCCAGCCACCCTTACCGTCAGCATCGTGGATATGTAGGAAGCCAACCGCCAGGAAAGCGCTAACAATCGCAGTAGCTTCGTAAGAAACCCAGAAATAACTGAGTCTGACCGGTAGCTCTTTAGATTTGTAGAAAAAGGAAAGGAAGAGGATGGTGTCGGCAATGCTGGTAACTGTCAGCTAGAAAAATCGACTTTAGCATTCGACTTTTGACTTACAATCCACCTTCTAGAAGTCCCAGAAGCGCCCGACAGATGAAATAACCGGTCTTATTCTTCAAGAAGGCTTGGCATGCAGCAACCAAGCTCCATGAAACCATCTGGAAAGGAATCCAGCGATCTGGTCCGACCTTCTTGGATAATAACTGCGAAGGCAGCTCGGCGAATAAGAATGTGAGAAGGAAGATTGTCTGCCCGTTGTTGTAGTCATTGGTATTCATCCCCAGATCCGCAAGCATGGTGTCGGAATTAGCCTGAACAACATTGCCTCTGTCGAGTTGGAGCGCAAAGAATGTCACGCATGCAAATGTGCAGATTCGCCAGTCAATCTGCTTTTCATTAGCTCTATACGCTTATTGAGAAGCGCTTGCTGGAAATACCTTTTTGATCAAGGCCTTCTCTTCCTCTTCCGTCCACTCAAAGTAGGGATCCCAACGGTGTATGCCTTCATACTCGGGGATAGGCTTATAGTACCGAGGATCCTCTGAGGTGTCGAATGCACCGCCCCCTTTGACACGCTGCACCGCGGCGAATTCGAGGGATGATGTGGACGAGCCCGATGCCACTGCAGTGACGGGACTCTTTTTACTGTCCTCGCCCGCGGGGACTGTGTCCACGGGGATATCGTGAACATTATCCGAGCCCATCTTGCCAATGGAAAAACGTTGACCACTTAGACGCCAGATATGAAGGCTCTTATTTGCGGCAGCCGAAGAGATTTAAAGAACAAATTCAGGACCATATGAGCTTTTTGATATGCTTCATCCCAAGCAAGCGAACATGAAGCTTCATCACGCAATCGCTCGGCAATATAGACAGATAGGCTAATTGCTAGATGATGTTCTGTGAAAGGTTGATGTAGCCAATCATGGCATGAACGTAATGGACCAAGAAAGACTCCGGGCATCTCGGGCGATAAGCTATGAAGCAAAACAGCTCGTGGTAGGGTGGCACTTGCGTCGAGACCAACATCAAGCGCAGCCATGGCGGCGAGATCAGGCCGTCAAGCTGTGGAAAAATGATACAAATCTCGATGTCTTGCAGTCTCATGGGGTGTCCTACTCAAGTAAGTGCGATCACGCAAACGAAGCATAAGTGACGTTATGAGGAACAAGTCAGAAGAAGTAAAAAGAGTCCGGTAGTTGTTAGCGTGGAGTAGTAGGATTCAATTGAAGTCTAGTTCGATCTCCGCTGCGGGAAACGGCCGAAGACGCGGCGGGGCCTTTAGGAATGGGTCGGGATCGCTCAGGCGGTGGCTGCACTTTACCTTTACCGCGTCGGTACTTCCACAACAACTCTTGCCTTACAGTCCTCCGATTTCACCATCGCACTGGTCGATGGTGATACGTTTCGTCAGCAATATGACAACATCTCTGTCAATGCTGATTGGAGGCGAGTATACAAGTCTACTGCGAAGTGCTGCAGTGCTGCGTAAACTTGTCAAGGCCAATGCAGTCTCAATGAACTGTTGATGCGCCCTAGCAAAATGTGCTTGCCTTGACCCTCTCTTATCTACCTCATCTACAATCACACTGCGAACAATGTCTTGACCATTGACCAAACGAACCGATTTCCTTCTAATTCAACTCCTTTCATACGATGAGGACGATCTCTATGAGTGAATGCGGGTCAGGTGGGGAGTTGAGCTTGTTTGAGCTTTGGAGGGGGAAAGTTGCGCCAGGGACCATGGCTATCACGCCATGTTGCACTAAACCACGTTTGCCTCAACCAGCGTCAACCCTGTGGAACACAGTCTCAACCTCCGGCACTGTTCAAGGTTAACCAAGTTCCTTGATTGTGTATGGGGTACATACTCCTAACAGGAACAAACACTGGCCAGGGTTACTAAGTATGCGACACTCACCACCAGATTGGGAAGACCGGCAATAGGCCAGTACTCCGCCTCGAAGATTATCTGATCAATGCCCGCCATTCCTCCTCGAGACGAGCACTGATGCCTATATGTCGTTATCGTTCGAAACCTTGTACCTAACCTTGTACCTCGTACCCCCTTTGCGAACCAGCAACTGCCGGAATTCGCTCGGCCATGCATACCCCGCAGGAATTGCGTGACGGCGCATCGAGTCATAGTAAGAAGGATGGTGATTATATATGCCAGAGCGAAC